GCTGCTGGGGGTTCTGGAGCCACTGGAGGTACTGGAGCTGCTAGGCCTGGTGGTGCTGCTGGAGCTGGAGGTGTTGGATGTGCTGGAGCTGGCGGTGCTGCTGGAGGTACTGGAGCTGGCGCTACTAGAGCTGCTGGGGCTTCTGGTGGTCCTGCTGGAGCTGGAGCTGCTGGAGGTGCTTGAGCTGGAGGTGCTGCTGGAGCCGGTGCTCCTTGGGGTGCTGGAGTTGGCGCTACGGGAGCTGCTAGAGGTGCTGCTGGAGCTGGTGGTGCTGCTGGAGTTGGAGCTGATGCTAGGGGTGCTGGTGCTGTCCTTGCTAGTTCTGGAGGCGCTGCGCGGCCGCGGCCGTACTTAATTCCCCCCCTTCAGCAGGTTCTTGGTCTCCCGCCTTCTACTGGTCCTGCTCCTTCCTTAGAGTGTCCAGCGCCTGTCCAGTCGCAGTCACAGTTACAGCCCGCCTCCCCACTGCCTGCTCCTTCTCCTTACACTAGTCCGACCGGAGGTCTTACGGAGCGTCGTGAGCCTGAGTCTCGTCCTGCGTTGCCTGTTCGTGCTGCTCGCACTAGTCGTCGTGGTTTGCGTCAGCGTCCTCCTCCTGTCCCTGGCATGCACCAGATGGCTCTGCGTCCTTCCACTGCTCCGCAGCGTGTCCCTCTGCCGTCTCCTCCTGCGTCCTCTCTTCCTGCCCTTGCTGACCCGAAGTCTGACTCCCTTCGTGCTGCTAGTCCTACTGTCACGCGTCTCCTGGCCACGGCTGTCACTGACCCTTCCTTTGAGTCCACTGATGCGTCTGCCTTAGTTGCTGAGCTTGTCGACTTTGCTGCTCACTGTCGTCTAGACTATGCCGCTAGTCTTGTTGCTGAGTCTGAGTCTGTCTGTCCTCCATCCGTCGGGGGTGAGTGTGCTCTTAGCACGGACGTCCTTGAGGACAGGCAGGAGGAGTTCCAGTATTTTGCTGCTGCTTTACCTCATCTCGTGTCCATGCTGATTGCCCCTGAGGGAGACCCGACATCCCGACCCCGCGCTCTTACGCAGAGGCGATAGAGGGTCCCTACTCCTCTCAGTAGCAGACAGCCATGGACGCAGAGATGGCTTCCTGGAAGTCCACAGGCACCTACGTCGACGAGGTTCCCCCACCTGGGGCGAACATTGTCGATGGCATGTGGATTTTGAGGGTGAAGCGGCCGCCGGGTTCTCCGCCTGTCTTCAAGGCGCGTTACGTGGCTCGAGGCTTCAGTCAGTGGCAGGGAGTTGACTACTTTCAGACCTTCTCTCCCACCCCAAAAATGACCACTCTTCAGGTTCTGCTGCACGTTGCTGCTAAGCGTGACTACGAGCTTCACTCTCTTGACTTCAGCACAGCCTTCCTACAAGGCAGCCTGCACGAGGAGATCTGGCTGCGCCGCCCACCTGGCTTCACTGGGTCGTTTCCTCCTGGCACCCAGTGGAGCCTCCGGCGGCCAGTCTACGGTCTCCGCCAGGCGCCCCGTGAGTGGCACGACACACTGAGGACTACGCTTGCGGCTCTTGGGTTTGCTCATTCCACTGCTGACCCGTCGCTGTTTCTCCGCACAGACACTACTCCGCCGCCGTTCTACATCCTCGTGTACGTCGACGACTTGGTCTTTGCCACTGCTGACACTGAGGCTCTCGCCCTGGTGAAGTCGGAGCTGCAGAAGAGACACGCGTGCACAGACCTCGGTGACCTGCGCAGCTATCTTGGCTTGCAGATCACCCGGGACAGAGCACGGCGCACCATTACCTTGACTCAGTCACACATGGTGCAGCATGTCCTTCAGCGCTTCAACTTCACGTACTCCTCGCCTCAGGCCACTCCTCTGTCTACTCGCCACTCGCTCTCAGCTCTGCCTTCGGATGAGTCCGTAGAGCCGAGTGGCCCGTACCCAGAGCTTGTTTGCTGCCTCATGTACCTGATGACCTGCACTCGACCTGACCTTGCATGCCCTCTTAGCATCTTAGCACGCTATGTTGCTCCTGGGAGACACCGACCAGAGCACATGGATGCAGCTAAGAGGGTGTTGCGCTACCTGTGCAGTACGTCGGGCATGGGGCTCGTGCTTGGAGGACGGGCTCGAGTTGTCCTCACTGGTCACGCAAACGCTTCTTGGGTTGACGACTTGGCTACGCAGCGACCATCACAGGGTTACACCTTCAGCCTTGGTTCCGGCTCTGTTTCGTGGCGGTCTACCCGCTTGTCTTCGGTTCTCAGCTCCAGTTGTGAGGCTGAGATCTACGCTGGGGCCATGGCTGCACAGGAGTTACGCTGGCTCACCTACCTGCTGACCGACTTGGGAGAGGCGCCTTGTTCTCCTCCAGTTCTGTACGTCGACAACAAGGCCATGCTTGCCTTGTGTCAGGAGCACAGACTGGAGCATAGAATGAAGCACATTGCTCTGTGCTACTTCCTTGCTCGAGAGTTGCAGCAGCGTGGTCAGCTTCGTCTTGCTTACGTGGCCACTCGGGCCAACACTGCTGATATCTTTACCAAGGCACTTCAGACTTGTGATCATCAGCGTTTCTGTACTCTGTTAGGTCTTGTGCCTACCTTGCCTCACTTGCTCACCTCTTGACTTTGCTTGTAGTGTGATCTATATATACCTGCACCTGCATGCTTACACTTGTTAGGTTGAGATCACTGTACTGCTTGTTCACCTTGATATATAAGTCTGCATGTGAACTGGCCTTGTGGCCTTTTGCTTGTGCTCAGAATGCGTGGTGACGTCGTGATCCACCCTGAGCTTGATCTTGCCTTGTTCTGTTGCTTGTCCCCTACTTTGCCTATGGGGGTGTGTCATAACTATACTCTAGGCTGTAGTGGTGCACTCCTTATGGGGTACAGCCCTGATAGGTTTTGCCCATACAACCTTGTACTGTCCCCCTTTCAATCATCATTCTTCGTTCTAACTTTCACACCAACTGTCTCGCCACCGCCCAGCTAGCATGACACGACCTCCCACCGAGCCAATTGTCACACCCGAGAAGATTCCGAGCCACCGAGTTCGTAATCCACGTGGAGCTCGCAGAATCAAGTTCCCGATTCGTTGGAAAGACCGCACCCCAACCGAAGACAATTGGGTACCCCTGGACAAAATCGAGAACCATCCCATCCTCACCGATTATCTGCGAAGCCGCAATTTCCGGGATGTACACGCACTCTCGTAAGGAGGGCCTCCTTAAGGGGGGGGGGGGGGGGGGGGGGGGGTAAGTGTAAAGAAATTCCCTTTTTCCTTACGCCACATCACTGCTTAGCGTGTGCATTACTGTAGCTTACCACAGTCAGCACCGTTACTACTCGCGATACTCGCCTCGACTATTTCCCGCCACCTCGCCCGTCGCAACCCAACCTCACGGCTCGGTTGGTAACCCGCGCTCTGGGCCTCCGCTTCGGCACTTTCCCGACCTCGGTCACAGGCCCGTCGCGCGTCACCTACAGTTCGTTACCGTTACCACTGTGGCCTTCGCTATTTATTTCTCGCTCATTCCTTCGATCATTGTACTGCTTTGCTTCGATAGTGCAATTCTCGCTCGCTCACTCAATTGCAATCGTAACATACGGTAACAAGTGACCTGCTCTAGCTGTATCCACTATAGCGGATCTACAATTTCAAGCCACAAGATTGCACTAGAACTTATTATTCATGTTCTCGTTACTAGATCTTTTTTTTCTACGCAAGCACACATATCAGGTGCCAGGGGTTTGGAAGGAGGAACAACGGTCTCCTCAGATACCAGCGAGCGCATGCAGATACTGTCAGATGTCAGACAACCTGCGCGGGTGGACTCTGTTCAGGGCGCCCACATCGGGGTGCCAGGTCCGCTCAGGGGGTCTCCAGCTTGGCCCGAGACCCCTCGTCAGGTTTGTGGATGAGGGATGTGCGTAATGAGAACATTTTTTCAATACCAACCCCCTGCCCGTTGGGCAACTGCCGCACACGAACTTGATCCTAGGTTATGGGAGAAATGGAGACAAATTGACAATGGACGACTCGATTCGCTGGCGTTTCCACGTGGACCAGAAATATGTCTCGTGCCGTCTGCTAAGCTGATTCGTGGTTGAGGATCACTGAGGTGTCACTCGTAAACATACTGACAATTTTGTTTCCGCAACTTATGAAAGAACTTTCTGGGGATATTTATTCCATGCTGAAAACATGCTATTTTGCGCACTTCTTATGTACACTTGAGTTTCTGTATGCATACAATATGTCGGAAAACAGCACCTAGAACTTTCGAAGGTGACGAGACGAGTGCAGAAATGAGTCCACTTCCAGATCTCGAGGCCATCCCCCCGCTAGGCCATTAGCTATTGGCTGAGATGCAATGCCATCTGCCCGCCGACAACTTCCTTGATTGGTGAAGACAACGTTCTTTGAACTTCTTCTTGCCCTTTTCATGACCGTGAGAACCTCCTCGACTCCCGTTCGGCTCGCCCTTGGTGTTTTCGAGGTTTGTGATCGCCAATCCCAGCGACGCGTCACGTCACGAGAACCTGTCGTGAAGCCGTGTTTCCTCGTTCCCCCCTGGCTTCACAGTGGCGCCACCTGAACTGGGGGGAGATGCACCACAACCCCACACCGCGTCCTGAACCACTCACAAAGAGTGCCCCCCCTGAATTCCCGCCCACGCTATCTTCCGCCCAACCTTTTTGGGTTCGCGCCCTGGCGTTCCCCGCCGGAAGTGCGCGTTGTTGGTTGTGCATGCACCCCGATTCACACAAGGCTTGCGCCGCTATGAGCCGCCCTCCCGCGTGCTTCCCAGGCTGAAGAGGGCTCCAGTCATCACTGGCTTGCTGAAGACGCGTTGGACTGCCTTGGACTGCACTCCACCTTGGTCCAATTTATTGGGGCTGAAATATTTCTTACTCTTGACAACTGAGCTAACATTTAGGCGTCAAATAAGCTGGAACGTTTATTGCTAGCTATAGCGCGCAGACGAACGTGATCAGAGTCAACGATTCTTTGTACGAACTTTCTGATACAATGGAGTGCCTGGCGAGGGCCCCGTCTACCTTCACTGCCTTCTTTTTCCGCAGTCATGTACCTGCGTGTTCTGACCCGTGTGCTTCCAAGTTGCATCTGCAGCAGCAAGGAGCGTCGCTTTGCCCCACGACTCTCACCACCGATAAGAACACCGCCCCGGGTTCATCAAACAAGGCCCTTGTGCCGGTGGGCGGAGCAGTCGTGACCGTGGCGGTGTTGGAGGGGTTCGGAATCGGGTTCCCATCCAACCTCCGCCCGTTCGATTCTCTCACTGCTCTCGTCGGTCGCGGGAAAAGCACCAGCAGCGGCATCGCCGATTCCTCCTCCGGCTCTGCCACTGCTGCAGCCACCGCTGCATCTGCTGCATCTTCTGTTCCTCTCTCCGTCTCCTCTCCGGCGGCCCCTACAGCCACGGTCCATTCACCTGCTTCGTCGCGCGCTGCTACCACCACAACAGGCGCTTTTGCCGGCCATCACGGTAGCAGCAGTCGGGTCACCACGGGGACGGCTATCTCGTCGTCCCCTTTCGCCGGCTTGTCCCCGCCTTCCACTCGCGTGACGTCGTCGCTTCTGGTGTCGTTTCTTGTGAATTACTCTGTGCTCGTGTCCGACTGGTGGCAGTTCAAGCACACCGCGAGGGACCGACTCCTCGCGTGCGTCGGCTCCCGCTGGCCCCTCGCCGCCGTCGTTGCGCACACCTCCGACCCCGTCAAGGTCGCCGCCCTCGCCGCTGCCGCCACGGCTGCGGCTGCTGCAGCTGCCGCCGCGGTTGCTGCAGCATCTGCTGATGCGGAGCGATTTCCGCAGCTGCAGTTCTTCCGCCAGCCGTTCCGAGGCCTGGGATGGGGCGGTGGCTCGTTGCAAGTCGGTAAAGAGGGGTCCGAAACGGAAGGAGAAGATGGCGAGGTGAGCGACGGCGCGGATGGATCGGTTTCCCCCTCAGGGAGCGAGTCCGACGGGGAGCCGCGCGTGAACGAGCGCAAGTGGTTCGGGCTGTTGGGGGGGCGATCTGCGCGCGGTGACGGTGAAGACGACGGCCCGGAGGGCAGGGCGGAGGAGGAAACGGAGGACGGCGGGCGGGGGGAGTTGGCGTCGGTGATGCGCGACGACCTGGACCCCAGCATGGTGTGGGGGCAGCGGCGCATGGACCTGGACGCCGAGAACTCGCGCCGCGAGTTCCTGGGCAAGCCCGGCTTCAGCTTCTCAGCCGCGGGGCTGCTCTTCCCGTACCACCTGGGTGTCACCCACTTCCTCGAGCAGAATGGCTACATCACGGTACGTCATGTTCTTCTGCGCCCGGCTAGTTACTTGCCTTGCCTGGGCAAGCGCTTTTTTTTTTTTCTATTATTTTTATTAAAGCTTTTTGAGTGTTGGGTACCAATCGTCCCCGGCTGTACGCGCCTTCTGATTTTGAGCATGAGTGCGTTCCTTTGGCCAGTACTGAATTCGGTTTGGCATCCCTTCTCGTGTCACTGTGTGTCGTGCAGGAGCACACGCCGTTGGCGGGGTCGTCGGCGGGAGCCCTGGTGTGTGCGACGATTGCATCGGGAGTGGATTCCCGCACGGCGCTGCGCCTCACAAAGCATCTCTCCGCGGACTGCCGCGCCAACGGCACGGCCTTCCGCCTCGGGGTCAGTGCGCCAGCCTGCTCCAGCCTACTGCTCCCTTCACCTCTCTTCGCCCCGCTTTTTTCTTTCTGCACGTTCTCCCGCCACGCGCGCTTATTGTGTTCCCCTCTGTCTCCCGCGATGCGCGTCCTGTGAACAGAAGCTGCTGCGCGCCGTGCTGGAGGAGATACTTCCGCTCAACGCGCACCTCTGCTGCAACGGCCGCATCCGAGGTACGCCTACCCTTGCCTCCCCTCACCGTGCTCTTGTCCCCATGCGTCGTTGCACCCCTCCTCTCCTCTGACTGCCGCCAAATGCTTCCCCCGTTGGTCACCCGATTCTAACCCGTCGCCGTGTCCCTGCCGCTGCCCGTGTCTGTGCGCAGTGGCGGTGACGCAGGTGTTCGGCAGTCCGCGCGGCGTGCTGGTGGACCAGTTCGACTCGCGCGAGGACCTCATCGACGCGCTCATCACCTCCTCCTTCGTGCCCGGGTCAGTGCTCCGCCAGGGGACGGATAAGCGGAGGGCAAGCTCGTGGAGTGAAGGGACGGGAGGGGGGAGAAGGGGGAGGGAGGGGGGAGGGAGGGGGGAGGGAGGGGGGAGGGAGGGGGGAGGGAGGGGGGAGGGAGGGGGGAGGGAGGGGGGGAGGGAGGGGGGAGGGAGGGGGGGAGGGAGGGGGGAGGGAGGGGGGAGGGAGGGAGGGGGGGAGGGAGGGCGAAGGTGGGTTGCAATTTACTAATTGGGTGGTGAAGGGAGATGAAAAGAGGTTGGGGTGCATGCCGAGTGCCGTGTTTGCATGACGATACCAGGATACCAAGTCCGCAGTCCGTCCCGTCCCGTGCATGCCTGTGGTGCGTGCTGCAGATACTTGGAGCCCCGCCCCGCCACTCGCTTTCGCAACCGCCTCTGCATCGATGGTGGCCTCTCTCACTTCATGCCGCCCACCGCCAGTGACGAAACGGTGCGCCACCTGCCATGCTGTCGCCCTCGCTTGCCCTTCCTACTGTCTCCGTTCTTCCTGTGAACATAATCATCGTGTGTACTGCCCTCTATTAACTTTGCCCTCATCATTCTGCCTTGTCTCCCCCCCTTCCACACACTCTCTGCTCCTTTCCCCTGTCCCCTCCCCTCCACCCGGTTTCTCTTCCCTCTTTTCCACCGGGGTCCTTTTCCCTCTTTTCCACCGGGGTCCTTTTCCCTCTTTTCCAGCGGGGTTCTCTTCCCTCTTTTCCACCGGGGTTCTCTTCCCTCTTTTCCACCCGGTTTCTCTTCCCTCTTTTCCACCCGGTTTCTCTTCCCTCTTTTCCACCCGGTTTCTCTTCCCTCTTTTCCACCCGGTTTCTCTTCCCTCTCCACAGGTGCGCATCTGCGCCTTCCCGGCATCAGCGCTGGGGCTGAGCGGCATTGGCATCTCACCGGACCTGAACCCGCGGGAGTCGTGGAGCATGCGCCAGCTCTTCTCCTGGGCGCTGGAGCCCGCCGAGGACGACTTTCTGGACGAGCTCTTTGACTGTGGCTACCAGGACGCTCAGTCGTGGGCGCACGGCTATGAGGCTGCCAAGAGCCTCGAGAGGGCCATGCCTCTGCAGCAGCTGGACGCTCATGACCTGCTCTCGCTCTCGCTGCCGCTTTCTGGTTCTGCAGCGGGTGATGCGATGCAGGGAGGCATGCTGAATGCCGGTAATGGTGCAGCTGCAGCTTTGGAAGTGGCCGTGGGTGGCAAGAGGAGTTGAGTGAGATGGGATTTGGTTTTTCTGCTTTGAATGCTTGACCTGTTCCTGCCTCATTCCCACCCCCAGACTCCATTGATTGCTCTGTGCTATGTGCTTGGGGCATTGTGTGCCTGGTGCCACCTGCCATACCCCGCCTGGTGCGACAACCCATTGTACATAGCAGTAGCTTCATTCCTCTGATAGGCCAGTGCTGGACCAAACGTGAAAATCAGGGCTGGGTCCTATTCAGGCTCACATAAGGTAGTGATATCTAATAGTGTGACTCTTAAAGACAATGTACCAGATCTCATTTTAAGTGCAGTAGCTAAGGTGTTAATTGAACAGTGTTGGGCAGGGCCCAAAATTGGTTTAGGCCCACCCTGGGGAATCAGAGTTCCAGCCCCTCCTTACCCTGACCTGTAGGGTAAAATTTTCCATACCCTGTTTGCAGCAGGGTAAATTTACCAGTACCAATTACCCCGGATAGTGACGCATATGCGCTTATAATACAATCAGTTTTTTTTTGGGTTGAGAAGCAACCCCTTACGATCGATTTTGCCAAATTTTATTTTCATATTTATTAAAATATGAAAATATAATTCATACGCGACAATACCCTTCCTATACTGTCAATATTGTTCACAGTACGTCAAACCATATTATTTTCATTCATTAGGTGATTTGTGCAGATGTGTTGTACTGTTTGCATTATACGTTTTACTATTAAATGATCTTGTAGTAATGATAAATAAATGCATATGCTTAAATAATGCTATAAGATGCATAATGTTTAATATGATGTCATGAATCATAATGCATATGCATTCACGTAATAAAATGCGTGACAGTTAACGACCCAAAAACTAAGCTACCGCCATCCTCTGCCTAGCATGGGGAGGAGGTCAATAGCATAGATTTTGAATAATCAACTATCACATGGAACAACACAATCTATAAATCCTAAAAAAATGGTCAAGCCTATCAAATCCAGTTCGAAGTGGCAACACACGAGTCACTTAACGAAATCTCCCTCGAGCTCACTGAAGACAGAACAGTCATTCACACCATGTGTCTCGCCATAGTGTGTCTGAAAAAGAAAGGGAATGGAGAAAGAAAGGGAGAAGGAAAATGAAACTCCCAAAAAGAACCCAAATGCAACACACATAAAACCCCCCGTCAAGATACCCAATCAAAACGCCCAGTCAAGACACCCCATCAAGACATCCCATCCCACGCCCCATCCCCCCCCCCCCCCTCAATCACATCAACGTATCGACCATGTACGGGGCCTCCACCCAGAGAGCCCCGCCTTCCACATCGACATCGTCCCTCTCCCGATCCGCCAAATCTACGTTAATCCCCCCCGTGGAAGACGCCGCTCGAAGCAGGATGACACGGGCTTGCGCACGTTGTAACGCCACCCCGATGAGCGCCTTCAGTGACCCTAAAAGATAAGCCGAAAACACAGAGTCGTCCTCTCGACAAGCCCCCCGCGACACAGCTAGCCCCACGTGCGCATCCCCCTGCTGACGAAGCCACCGCTGAAAACGACCGCCGAGACACCCCCACGTCTCAACTATCAAAGGGGTGAACTGCACGCCCCGGTTGCGTGCAAGCAGAGGTGCGTAATCACTCGTTTTGCGACGCTCCCATTCCCTTGCCGCCACACCTATTTGACGCCCGCACTGTCCCAGCAGTGATGGAGACAGCGATAGCGGGTCCGCGACGCTGATCTCTAGGGCGTGAGCCTCTCCAGCCATTGGACGTCGCACCGCCACATCAACCCGCTTCCCTTGCAGCACCACACTATCCTCCAATGTCACCACCCCCCCCGACGCCTTAGAGATCTTCGCCACCGCAAACTTCACCTCATCATGCACCCGAGAAGGACCATGCTGGTGCCTGCATCTCAGGGCATGGTGCGGGTCTGCTGGGTCAACATACGCTGTGCCACAAACACACCTCCCCGCCACCTGCAGCTGCTGAATTGGGAGGCCGAGCCGTATAGCAGCAGCAATGCCCCACTCAGCCGCAGTGAATGTGAGATCTGAGTGAGCCGGAACCGCCGAAACCCATGCACCTGCCCCCGGGCCCTGAAGGGATGTGAAATGGGCCAAGGTAGCATCGTCACGAGCCAAGCGGCGCAGTGCCTGGAGCTCCTCTACAGCTAACTGCCGCTGACGCGCCTGGAAAAGCCGAACAGGAGGGGCCGCTACACACAGAGGTAAGCCCGGTATCTCGTGGCGGATAGTCGCTGGCAGCTGCTCGAGAGCCTTGACAAACCACGGGTCAAGAAACTCTGCCCCTGTCGAAGTGGTGAGGTACTCAGCAAACATCGCCTCCTCACCCGCCACCCCTAACTGTGCAATGTCCCGCGCGGCCTGCGCCCACCCGCAAACATAGGACAGTGGGCTCAAAGAGGCCGCCGCCCGGATCCCGAACCCACCGAGACGCACAGGGAGATGCAGCTGCATGCGTGCGCGCCTAGACCGGTCGGGGTCCTGCTCCCAAGTGCCAGGTGGGAAAAGCTGCTCAAAGCAATCCTCTAAACAGCTGTCCCAATCCCTAAAAGCCTCAACCACCTCCGGACGCGGCGGCATAGTCCGGGCGAGGTACATCGGCCGCGCTGAAACTGCAATGGCGAGGAGGTGTGAAGCCATCTGGGGGTGGTCGAGCAAGGGGAGCCATGGCAGTGGCGCCTGCAACTGTCAAAGCCGCTCTCGTAGCCGGACCACCTCCCAAACCTCCTCTCCAATAGGCACGCCCACCACAGTAAGACCCTCATCCACCCGCTGCATCCCCAATGGCAGTGCCCGCTCCACCTCCTTGCCCTCGCGCTCCCAAAACCGGCACTTGTGCGCCTGCACCTCCAGCCCCACCCACTCCAACCGCTCCCGCAGCACCCCAAAAGCCTCCAGAATCCTAGCCGCTGGCCCCAAAATATAGGTATCGTCCGCATAGCTGAGGAAAAGCAGGTCCTTGAACTCCCTAGTAACCGGCTCCATCACCTGCTGCTGCGTGAACGCGAAAAGAAAAGGGCCGAGCGGGTCCCCTTGCCTCGATCCCCGTGCTGACTCGAGGCTCTGTACGAAAGGGCCTGCTCGGAGGTACAGGTCGCTAGGTGTCCCATAAAAGACACGCAAGAATGGGATCATCCCTGAGAAAGGCGACTCCCGCAGCCCATCGAACATCACATGACGGTGAAACGAATTGAAGGCGTTTGCGACGTCTATCTGTAGCGCACACCAGTCGGGGTGAGTGGCCAGCGCTGACCGGAAAGAATGAGTGAGAATCTCCGCCCCGACCCTGGTGCCCGCTCCCAGCTGGTTGCACGGCAGGAAGTAGGAAACCATCGCAGGGCGGAGCGAGATGCAGAGAGCTTGAGCAAGGATACGAGGAAGCACCTCCCCGATCGCCACCGGCCGGACGTCGCCGTTAGGCTTGGAAAGCCCGACTAGGTTGGATGCGGCGAGCCACGGCCGAGCCCGCTCGGGGACCTGTCCCGCCACCCATTGGTTGAACACTTCCAACAGGTGGGAGAGGCAGGTAGGTTCAGTGAGGAAGGTGTCGCGCAGATGCTCTGTGACCCACCCCGATGGCCCTGCTGCTGAGGCTCGAGCGGCTGTATGGATAGCTCTGGCCAGGATGTCGGTCGTGAGTGAAGGCCGCTGAGCAGTATCGATGGTGAAATCGCGGACCCACTGTGGTACCTCGCCTGCGCTAGCCGGGTGCTTCTCTCGCAGCGACTGCACCATGACCTCAGACGGTCGAGCCAACTCCCCTGCTGTAAGGCAGGCCAATCCTCGGCTCCACTCCCCCACTTTGCACCGAGATCGGCACCGTGACAGGCGGATGGCATCCGGAACCTGGTCAGAGCGAGTGTAGGAAAGTGGGCGAACTGCTGGCCGCGCTGCCGCCATGGCAGAGTCGAACAGCTCCCGCCACCTCCCCTCCCAGAACGCACCCAACCGCTCTGTGATCAGCGCCTTCTGACCTATGCCTGGCTTGGGAGGCATGGCTAGGATGAGGCGCGTAAACGCCAAGAGTAGGAGGGTAGCGGCTTCATCTCCCGGCTGGCTCTTCAAGCGCTTAAGGATGCAACAGAGCGCGTCTAAGACCCCCGACCTGGCCCGCTTTGGGATCCGGCGAACTGTCCTCCCTCCAACCGCCTCCACACTGAAAAATGTTTCCCATTCCCATGACGTAACCCCAGCCCACGCCTCGTCCCCAAATTCCCGCGGCGTCGATCGCTCCTGCGTGTCGGTCTCCACCAGAGACGGAATCGAGCTGAGAGCCCGTGCACGCCTCTCCGCCTCAGCCGCTCGGCATACCCTCATGTGGTTCGCAGCGGCCCCCTGCGTAGCGAAAGTGTGGAAACACGTGTCGCACGGGAAGCGGGGGCATGGGGAAGGCGGCATGGGAGGTTCTTCGTCCGCCTCTGACTCCTCCGCAGTCACCATGGGGGTATCAAGCTCCAGAAGTCGACACCACTCCTCCAACTGTTGCTCCTGGTCGTCCATCGATCGCCCCCCTGCTTGCTGCGCTCCTTGGGGTGCCCAGGGCACCCTCGGCTGCTCCCCTGGCTGCTGCGCTCCCTGGGGTGCCCCGGTCACCCCCGGCTGCCCCCCTGCCTGCTGCTCTCCCTGGGGTGCTCTGGGCACCCTCGGCTGCCCTCCTGCCTGCTGCACTCCCTGCCCTCCTGCCTGCTGCACTCCCTGGGGTTCCCCAGGCACCATCGGCTGCCCTCCTGCCAGCTGCACTCCCTGGGGTGCTCCGGTCACCCCCGGCTGCTCCCCTGCCTGCTGCTCGCCCTGGGGTGCTCGGGTCACCCCCGGCTGCCCCCCTAGCTGCTGCTCCCCCTGGGGTGCTCCGGTCACCCCCGGCTGCCCCCCAGCCTGCTGCTCTCCCTGGGGTGCTCCAGGCATCCTCGGTTGCCCTCCTACCTGCTGCACTCCCTGGGGTGCCCCGGGCACCCTCGGCTGCCCTCCTGCCTGCTGCACTCCCTGGGGTGCCCCGGGCAC